GTCCTCGAATCTGATTGGCTGATAAGAGTGCGATATTCTAATGATATCAGAACTCCAACCGTTTCACTGTTTGTATCACTCCGCTTGCAGTATTTCTCACAGCGAGTGTCATGGCGGACTTCCAAATCCACTATAATTTGTATAAATAATACTGTTTGCGGAATGCAGTTTTAAGAGTTTTCATATAGCACTGCTACTTTCTTTCTGGTCCTCGAATCTGATTGGCTGATAAGAGTGCGATATTCTAATGATATCAGAACTCCAACCGTTTCACTGTTTGTATCACTCCGCTTGCAGTATTTCTCACAGCGAGTGTCATGGCGGACTTCCAAATCCACTATAATTTGTATAAATAATACTGTTTGCGGAATGCAGTTTTAAGAGTTTTCATATAGCACTGCTACTCGTGTGATATTGCTTATATATAACATTTTTTTTATGGGAGTATGAGAACCTTTTTTACATGTTGGTAATGAGAATTTGGGAAGACAATGTGCAAATCATAGTTTACTTATATTACTATTAAAACATTTTAGTGGTTATAAAATAACCTTTCTTTATACAAAACACTATTATTTTTTTCTTGTGATTTTGGTGTAAAATATGACATTTCTTGATGCGATTGTTTGATATTCACACTTTTGTAGCCCATTATCTGACTGCTGGGGTGGGATCACTGGTTTCAAGCATTTAGAGGAGGTTGACACTCAATAAAATTTGCAAGAGAATGTCATATAAGAGACTTATTAAGCCTAAAAATCAAAAGAACAATTATATTTAATTGGAAGTTTATATAGCTATAATAAAAAACAAAAACCATTTTTGGACCATTATGTTTCTTCAACGGTCCCAAAAAAACTTGTACTGCTCCAATGCTGATTTTCATTGCTCTAATGCAGTAATTATGTAAAATATGCTAAATATAACTGATTTTATTGTAATGTATTTTATAAAAAATATTACCATTAAAATATTTTATGAAATATGTAACGAAACAAACCTTTCTTTATCCAAAAACATTATTTGGCATAAAATGATGACACTTCTTGACAGGTTTTGTGAGATTAACCCTTTTGCAGCCCATTATCTGACCCTGGGTTGGACAGACCCCAGGTTTGAGAGCTTCGGGGTCATTACCAAGCAAATTTAATCTCAGCCCAAATGAGATTGTACTACTGCGCTCTCTGATGGGCTGCATCATGGCTCAGTAAGCCTCTGCACATGGTGAATCGCATGTCCCTGGATGACTCTCGCCCGTCCACACCCCATGACTGTGCACACGCAGCGCCATCATGACTCTATGCTACAGGGCCAAACTAGAGGGTGAAGCAGTTTAAAGAGGTGGGATTGATGATTGTAAGCATTTAGAGGGCATTCGTACATTTAGGTAAATCTCAGGAAACATGGAAAGAAAATATAATGTATGTGTGTATATATATATATATATATATATATATATATATATATATATATATATATATATATATATATATATATATGTGTGTGTGTATTTCTTTCTGGTCCTCGAATCTGATTGGCTGATAAGAGTGCGATATTCTAATGATATCAGAACTCCAACCGTTTCACTGTTTGTATCACTCCGCTTGCAGTATTTCTCACAGCGAGTGTCATGGCGGACTTCCAAATCCACTATAATTTGTATAAATAATACTGTTTGCGGAATGCAGTTTTAAGAGTTTTCATATAGCACTGCTACTCGTGTGATATTGCTTATATATAACATTTTTTTTATGGGAGTATGAGAACCTTTTTTACATGTTGGTAATGAGAATTTGGGAAGACAATGTGCAAATCATAGTTTACTTATATTACTATTAAAACATTTTAGTGGTTATAAAATAACCTTTCTTTATACAAAACACTATTATTTTTTTCTTGTGATTTTGGTGTAAAATATGACATTTCTTGATGCGATTGTTTGATATTCACACTTTTGTAGCCCATTATCTGACTGCTGGGGTGGGATCACTGGTTTCAAGCATTTAGAGGAGGTTGACACTCAATAAAATTTGCAAGAGAATGTCATATAAGAGACTTATTAAGCCTAAAAATCAAAAGAACAATTATATTTAATTGGAAGTTTATATAGCTATAATAAAAAACAAAAACCATTTTTGGACCATTATGTTTCTTCAACGGTCCCAAAAAAACTTGTACTGCTCCAATGCTGATTTTCATTGCTCTAATGCAGTAATTATGTAAAATATGCTAAATATAACTGATTTTATTGTAATGTATTTTATAAAAAATATTACCATTAAAATATTTTATGAAATATGTAACGAAACAAACCTTTCTTTATCCAAAAACATTATTTGGCATAAAATGATGACACTTCTTGACAGGTTTTGTGAGATTAACCCTTTTGCAGCCCATTATCTGACCCTGGGTTGGACAGACCCCAGGTTTGAGAGCTTCGGGGTCATTACCAAGCAAATTTAATCTCAGCCCAAATGAGAAATAACCAAGCTAAGGTCATATATATTTTACTGAGGTTGTAAATAATGTCAGCGCATATGATCCAAATAAAATATTGATGCGCAGATTGAATGGCATTTTGATAACAAACCGTTCAGGTTGTCCACTAATGAAGGCAGTCAGCCAATCAGTGAGAATCCGGGTCATTACCAAGCAAATTTAATCTCAGCCCAAATGAGAAATAACCAAGCTAAGGTCATATATATTTTACTGAGGTTGTAAATAATGTCAGCGCATATGATCCAAATAAAATATTGATGCGCAGATTGAATGGCATTTTGATAACAAACCGTTCAGGTTGTCCACTAATGAAGGCAGTCAGCCAATCAGTGAGAATCAGGGCTAAAGAACGTGACAGCTAATCAATGCCTACCAGTTCCTTCACCCATTTGCCAAGAAGTAAATTTCTTTCATCATTCTCCTTCTGCCATTCAGCCATCTCCCCCTTTGCAGTGGAAAAAGACTGTTTGTTAGCTAGCTAGCCACACCATGCTTTTTCATCCTCCTGACAGGGTTGTGACCAGGAGGGCCAACAGTTCTAAGATAATGGCCAATTATAATAACGGCCGGTGCATCTCTACGAGACCAGGTAGAGTGTGGCATTGGGAGCCTTTACGGCATATGGAAACTGCACTTCAAACTGGGCGGAAGACGGAATGCCATAACAGCGCAGCCCACTAACACCAACCTGTTACCAATACATGCTAACAACCATAGTGGTGACACCATGGCGACAAGAGATCGGAAAGACGTTAATGTGGAGCTTGATAGTACACCTGCAGGTTTCACTTCAACAGCAATTTAAATTCTATATGAAATCCACGTTCTGTAATGTGGACGTTTATCACAGAATGTGCCTTTTATATAAAACATTCATAAATGTATAGGCAGAAACAGTTAGGGTGTAAAAGCTTTTATGTGTTACAAAATTATATATATAGTTTACCATTTATATTTTTTGTAACATAAAATATAAATTGTATTTCTAATATATATATATATATATATATATATTTCTATGTTTTATTCTATACATTATATATTACATGATTTAATTTTATATATTTTATGAATTAATAAACATATAATTATATATATATATATAAATATATATCATTTTTATATGTAAAACAATTGTACATTTTATTACATAAATACACAAATTCTATATATATACAATTTTTATTTGTAATTTTTGAATACATTTTTTTCCAAAAGTAAAAAATAAGTGTCAAAAATATATTCATATATTATATCAATTTATGTATATTAATATTATGTGTTCTATTTTATATAATTTTTTTAAATAAAAAATGTATGTATGTGTGTGTATGTATATATAAATATATATATATATATACATATATATGTATATTTTAGGGGTGTAACGGTACACATATTCATACCGAAAATGTTTGGTACAGGTCTTACGGTTCGGTACGCATGTGTACAAAACAAATCGTTGCATTTTTTCTGGAAATTCAGACAATAAATGGCGTTTTGACGCTCTTTGATGTGGCGTGACATGTCAGCGTATTCTAACGCCTCAGTTTTGAGGGCAGTGCGGAGCGTGATTACTAGTACTTTATTACTAGTTTTTATCACCCCTCACGTAATCACTCAATTATTCATTCATTTTTATCCATAATAAAATTTTTATTATAATGAATTTATTCAAAGAAAGAGCAGTTTGTTCAGTAAACCATTGTTAAATAAAAAAAAAAGCAATTAATGTTTAGTTTTTTTCCTCCTGCTGTACCGAAATCATACCGAACCGTGACATCAAAACCGAGGTACATACCGAACCGTCGTGTTTGTGTACCATTACACCCCACCCCTATGTATATAATTAATGTTAATTCATTATAAACAATTACAGATGATCTTAACAAAGCAATTAGCCTGTGTCTGACCAGTCCATAAATACCACAACAACTTAAAATCACACAATTAATGTGGTTAAACAATGTAATTGATTGACAGCTTGTTAAAAAGAGTAACACGCAGCTGCACTTGGATACAGTTTGTGAACAGACTGACCAGTCGGTGCAAACCCTAAATGATATATGACTTACTAATAATTCATCTCACCTTCTTTGCACTCGAGAGCGACTCTAGACTCCAGGTTGTCCATTTGCAGCTGGAGTCTTTTGAGAGTGCGGTCTGCGTCGCGGGACTTGCGCTTGTAGGCGATGAGCACCGCGATGATGACCAGCAGCAGGAGGCCTCCCCCTCCTCCGATCCCGATGATAGCAGGCAGGGTGAGAAGGCTGTCGGAGTAGATCTGCAGCGTGCCGGGGGAATATTCAAACCCTCCTGCCCGGATCTGTAACAGAGGCACAGGAGACCTGGCTCATCGAGGTGCAGGAAGCAAATCTTGTGTACTGGTCTGCGATCTGCAAATAGCCGCGATTAGCATTCGTAAATTTGTTGTGGCAATTAATTTGTGAGAATCAGCTTTTTGCGTCAAGAATGCAACAGCAGCTTTAAACAAAGACCCAAATTAAAACTTTATGAGCCAATCACATTTGTGAGACAAGCTAAGAGATTGAAAACCCATTTAGCTTGAAATGTCCTATTATTACTGGATCATTTCAAGCTTGTATGTCGAAAATAGAAAATTTAACAAGGAACCGTGTGATTGTTTACATAGCTCTATCTTGGCAAAAATCAGTCCACACAGTGTCAAGGTGTTTGTTTTAACCATAAACATGTTTGTACAACAGAACAGTTAAACGTTTATCAGATGAAGATCATTTATTTTTTCTAAAGAAACTGTGAGGATGTTTATCTAATAAAACCTTCCAACAATACGATATGGCACTGCTTAGCCCTTGCAAAATCTGTATGGTATCTTAGATGCAGTACTGGGTAGTAACTGATTGCATGTAACCTTGATTATGTAATCAGGTTCTAAAAATTAAAGGATTAGATTGAAAACAAAGTATATATACCTACGTCACACGTGACCTTCCCAATATGATTACATAATGCTCGAAGTCGCAGACAAGCGTCACAGAGCTAGTGCAAGATGAGCATTTGTGGTTAAAAGTATGTATATATAGGTTCTAAAAATTAAAGGATTAGATTGAAAACAAAGTATATATACTTACGTCACACGTGACCTTCCCAATATGATTACATAATGCTCGAAGTCGCAGACAAGCGTCACAGAGCTAGTGCAAGATGAGCATTTGTGGTTAAAAGTATGTATATATATTTTTTTTTTTTCGCTTCGCTAGATAAGACCCTTATTCCTCATCTGGGAATGTGTAGAGCCCTTTGAAGCTGCATTGAAACTGCAATTAGGACCTTTAACCCATTGGCTCCCATTGAAGTCCACAATATGGAGACAAATCCTGGAATGTTTTCCTCAAAAATCTTCATTTCTTTTTGACTTAAGAAAGAAAGAAATGAACATCTTGGATGACATAGGGGTGAGTAAATGATCAAATTTTAATTCTGGAAGTGAACTAATCCTTTAAGTACTTGTAATTAGATTATATTACATTTTAAAATACTCATAATCAGACTGCAGTTACTTTTTTACTTTTATTGTTTACATGATTACATATTATTCACATGGTCACATGACATGCAGGTAAACAGGTATAACATTTCCTATTTTTATTAAGTATTTTATTTTCATAATTGTTATTTTAAAAAGATTTATTTAAATTGTACATTTTCATGATTTAATTCATTATTAGCTTTTCATTAAACTCACAAACCCCAGTATGGGAAACTTTGATGTAATATAATGTTTAATGCACTTCATAACAATTCATTATTGTTCATAACATTGTTAATAACAATGAATGCATTAATTCATTGCTAATAACAACACGTCATGTAAATTAGAATCAGTAATGGACTACAATTTGCAAGTACAGTAATCTACCCAGAACTGCTTAGAGGGCATAATTTCAATTAAAACGTCTATGAGATATTTTGTCCATTTTATCATCCAGTAGACGAAAATCAAGGACAAGCACTTATAATTGATATATTGATATATATCAATTTAAAATATACATTTAGTATAATTAATTATTAATACATTTTATAAAGCAATTAACCTGTGTCTGACCTGAACATAAATTCCAGTAATGACTTATCATAGTTAATTAAAAAAAATAAATAAATCCCACCCCTCTTCAACAACTCACACAATGTGAGGTATCATTCATGTAAAAACAAATCATGCACAAAGTTCATTACATCGAGTTAGAGGTGTAGAAATACAGTAAAATGCTTTCGCAAACCGCGCTAACATAAATATTTGGAACTCCAGTGAGACATTACGTGAGCGTATGTACTGCACCGCAGGCATTGTGGGCTGTCTGCAAAACTACAGGGACCCCTGTGAAGGCATGGGGTCAAAGATCGCAGCCATGCAAAATCTCCTAGAGAGACTCTCTCTAACAGGGGTCGCAGTGGTCAATGCACAGCTGTGTGACGAACACACTCACATCATCACACATGTATACACACACATTCTCTAATTCTCACATACAGGCCAAAAGATACAAAAATCACACACACTGAGAGCTGCCAGACGTGATCCAATGCACCAAGGGCGGCCCCTAAGTAGGTCACTGTACATGGGACAAGAGCACAGCTGTGTCTGCGTCTCCCCGGCCTCGCCTCACATCGCCTCTGAGTGCCGCACGGGAAGGCAACGCAAAGAGACACGTCTATTTTTGAACCAGCATTTTTCAAAGAGCATTTGTACAAACATATATTTCACACAATTTCTCAGAATTCAATGTGACATTTGTGACAAAAATAATACGAATGCAGAAAACAGGCGTAAATATTTTTCTTCTCGGAGCATTTCGCTTTTAGAGCCATCACAACGAATGACAAGCTGCGACGAGATAAAGAGCGTCCTTTCAAGACATTTTCCTTCAGCGGGGCATTCGGTTGGTGTTAAGTTCATTCCTGGCTGCGAGTTGTCATTTCCAATCTTTTGACATTTGGTCAATGTGAACTTGAGGATCTAAGTACATACCGTCACTTTGTGCTGTCCGGTGAGGTTGGGCCACTCGCACAGCAACTGGGTCTCAGAGAGCGTCAGAATGCACGGGGTCTCTCCGATAAACACTGTGTAGTTAAGTCTGGAGTTACCGGGAGCGACAGGAATCAAATTACGACCCTGTAATGACAACACAATAGAAAAAGATATCATCAGATATGAAAAGAAACAATAAAATATAACTAACATGAATCGTTTTAACATAAATCATGTTTTTCTCATGATTCTCAACAGGGCTTTGCCATGTAACATTTAAAAGCATCAACTATGCTAATAACTATAATTTCCATCAAAAAAATACTGTTGCAATAAACAATATAAAAGAAAACAATATTTGTTGGCAACAAGTAATTTATGTTACATTATATATATATATGACATAAAATATAAATGTAAGGTTATAATTTTAGATTTGCATTTATTATTATTATCATCATCATAAACATTTATGAAGTTTTTTAAATATTATTTTTATATATTTATGTATATATATATTTAATACAAATATAGTTACAATATGTATATATATATGACATAAAAATGAATTAAGGTTTTAAATTTAGATTTGCATTTGTTATTATTATTATTATTACTATTATTATAATCATCATAATAATAAACATTTCTGAAATTAAATTATGTATATATGTCTGTCTATATATATATATATATATATACATATATATATTTATATATGTATTTCTTTGTTAAAAAAAAACAATATTTGTTGGGAATTTAAGTAATTCATGCGTTTATGTGTATTTGTGAAAAATATTCATTAAAGTTTAGAATTGTCTACATTATTACTGCAAATAAACATTTTATACTTTAAAATAAAAAAATATAAAACAGTTTATATTACATTTGTGTATTATTATATTTGTATGTGTCGTCACACACACACACACACACACACTATAAAATATACAATAGAAAATGTAATTCATATTAAAAATAAATTACACTACATATGAAAATGATACATTTATAATAAAAACTGTGAAATCACACATTTAAATAATCAAAATGTTTTGTGTTGCAACAGTGAAAATGTTGGCAGGGAAAAGGTTTATAGAATGTCTATAGATATCTAAAATATTCCTTTAAGATGCTGGAATGGATTTTCAAGATAATAGTAATGGTCTCTTTTTGTCTGAATTAAATTTAGCATCACATAACCTTGGACACGTAAAGGTCATGCAGATATTGATTTTAAAAAAGCAAAGAAAACCCCACAGGCTTGAACAGATATGAACATATCCTGCGACTGATCTCCTCAAAGGAAATAAACAGAATACTCTCGGAATGCTCTGCGGCCACATGGACAGAAGGGACGGGAAAAAGAAATGTTGATGAACAACAGCAAAGCACCAACAGACCCCCCCTTCCCCCCCGTTCCTCAGGGTTCAGCGAGGCCACGGCACGACGCTCTTTAATGCAAATTCTGCTCCCTCTCCCCCTCTCATCTCATCCGCGCCGCCAACCCCAGATCAAATTAGATGAGAAATTAATTGCGTGGAGAATGTGATGCATCTCCAGAATATCCCTGATTATTTCACCAAATTGCATTTTCGTATTTTCCTTCGCTTTGCTAATGCACCGGGTTGTTTTCTCCCCCCCCCCCTCCAATAAGCCAGGCGGGGGGTCGGGCATTAAGTAAAAAGGTTTCGTT